ATAAAAAATTGTTAAATAAAGAGTAATTGCATCTGAACTAGTTTCCCATATTTTTTTTTAAATACTTTTTGGTACAAACTAAAAGAATTGGGAAAAATCTAGTCGCAGATATTTGAATTATAACGAAAGACTTTATTATTATTATTATTAGTAGTAGTAGTAGTAGTAGTAGCAACTCATTCATTGAATTGAGAGATAAAATGAACTCTAATGAAAAACAGACGAGACTCAAAAACCACCCCAAAGTGATGGAAGTCGGCAATTACGCATTTACCGAGTGGTTTAGGAAAATTATTAAACTGTCACTGCCAACGACTGCGACCACTTCACAGCACACGATGCGCGAAATTGCAGGAACAAATCTGACACTGAATTGCGTTAGCGTTAATTGGCAGTGATTACGAAGACGCCTAGACGACAGCTTCTCAAATCGCTCAGCAAATTTGAGAAGGGGGAGTATGGAAGCACACTGATCCGTTCGCAACACCCTGAAACTGTTCGGGAGTACACGTCGCCGAAGGAAGATACGGAAATACGCATAGTGTTTTGGTTGTAGATAACTTGCGGCCTACCTACTGGCGGTTAATAGAACACCTTCTAGATAGATACAAACCAACACCTAGGCTAGACAGTTACAATTACAAGGCCTGAGCGCGAAAGCGTGACGTCACATTATAAGACCGGCTGCTTGCGGCGCCCCTCCTCATTCACCCCTAGTTTCCATTGTTTACTTACTAGTTAGCTCTTGCTTTTTTCCTGTTTGTTTTGTTTACTTTTTACGATTTATAGTTTAGAAAAAAATACATAATAATGTGCCCCTTTACACTGTGTTATGCAATATGTGCCATATAAGTTCTGCAACATGCGGATGTTTTTAAAAGTTTAAAGTTCCCGTTTTTTAGGGTACTTATTAATTACATGATTTCTTTCCCAATAATAGTTTTTTACTAAAACATTTGAATATACATCTTTTTAATGTCTTCAGCATAATGCCCTGATAAACATATGTCTAAATAATCAAAGAGATCTGTAAAAAGTTAACTGATTAATACTGGTTTAACAAATTAAATATCTCTGATTTTATGTTTTTAAAAAGGAATTGTTAATATTGAAATAAAAATAACTGTTTGACTGCATTGTAATAATAATTGGCATTTATCAGATCTTCTGTCAGATTCAGTAACTGTTTTTAGTCGTTTGATTATAGTTTAATTGCCTGTCTTCAATCGTTAACAAATATATCCAATTTTTCTTTTAAAGATTAACATTTCCTAAATGAAACAAATAGAGAGTTAAATCAAAAATTGTGATTAACTGGCTTCAAGAAATAAAACTGTGAATTTTAAATGATATACAATCGAAAACAATTGTATGAATATATAAATATAATGCATAATCTTAATGCAAATTTTTAAAGAAAAGACAAAGAAATACCGTGAAAGACACATACCGTTGTTTCATGTTAAATAGCCCAGTCTATTCCAATTCATTGAAATTCTAGACTTAATCTACATAGAAGTATTCTTAAAAGTGCGACAATGAAAATAAATACCTTATGCAATTTAGGATACATTTTATGTCTTGTGCTTGTCATAAAATTTATTTTTTCATGTTGCATGTACTTTATAGTGCGAGTTTCAATTTATTTTCCTTTTCAGTTGAACTGATAGTTTCATTAATTCCTAGAATAATTTTTTAAAGTATCTTCAGTTAAAAATATAAATTAGTAATAGACTTACGGAAACATACTTACGGTTCAAGCCTCTTTACATTTACCGAATTTAAAAATTTTAGTCTTTGATTTTATGTTTTCTCAACAAAATTCTTTTATCTATTTTCCGTTACATGTATGAATGAAAAATAAACGTCACAAGAGAAATGAAATGCTGTCCAAAGTATTTACTGTTCACTCATCCTGGATATTTGTAGTATGTCTGAATATCATTAATTTTCTCTCTTACTGTTTATTTTTTCACTTATTTTCGGGGCATATTTATCATTATTTATATTTATTTATATTTATTTAAATTATATACATAGCTATCATTAATTGAGATTAATTTGTCATTATTTAGCAATTATTTTTATATTTATTTTAATTACTCACTCATATTGCTTGAAAAGCAATGAGTGAGTAATTAAAATAAAATATAAAAATTTGGGGGAGGGGAACTACACACAGTATTTATATTTTTAGTTTTTCATAATTTCTGAACAACTTTCCATAGATCAAATATTTTAATTTAAGATTAGGCTCTGAATGCAAGACAAAATCTGAATTTAGAAAGCAAAGTAAAAATGCGCATCATCGCTGGATGATTGTAGGAGAAGATTTCCGCTGCTTCACGTAGGTCTTCTGCTCATGACGTCACTGACCAATCAGCCGCTAGTGCTCAGGCCTTGTTCTTCGAGATAGTTTTGGTTAAGACCGCGGAATACTGGTGGTTCTACTTATTTAGGTTCGAACCCAGCGAACGGGCAGGTTGCATGGTTGATTTTCTTGGTTTTCCCCACATGTAATGTGAATACGAGCCAGTTTTCATCAGAGAGTCCTCCACGAAGGCACCTCTCCTCTTAGGCAGATAGCCCTCATGGCTTTTCATGTTCAAATAATCAGGCTAGATGACCTTTCACGGACGCGACCTTTCCGCCGGGTAACTGTAGCTCATGAATACTGACATCAGTGACTGGAGTGGTGCCGGGTTGGTTAATTGCTTCGTACTCAACGTTTAGTTGTCTAAGGATTCAAGGAGTAACTTCTAAGGGAAATATCCACGTTACACATAGCGCAAATCACAAGACACCTATGGAGCAAGTCATGAATCAAACTCGATTCGAACTATCAGTGTTCAGCGGTGCTGTCCATTCGGCCACTGGTACGCATAATCTTGCCAGGCCGAAGAACATAGACTAGTGCCTAATAAGTTTTGAATCTATAGAACTAATCTAATATATAATAATGTTTTTATTGTTTTCATTATCGGACAACAGGCGCGAAATAATTTCCTCTAGAGAAATATTATGTGCCAACTTGACACTTCCAGCAAGAGCTGATACTTTCGTTACTAGTTCATTTCGAGCGTGGTACTGAAACCAGTCGGTTCGCCAGTATTTGAACCCAGGTCGAACTACCACTGTTGAACAGTCTTATCATAAATGAAAATTATATAGTGTAGGGCATATTTATCTGCCAGTTTGATTTGGAAACCTTGCCAGAATACATGCCAGCATCACATACTGGTATCACAATAGTGAATGGACACAGAATTTAAATGTCGTGTATAAAAAAACAGCAAAATTTGAAGGTCGGTTGAGGGGTAAATTGTGCAGTTTGGGGCCTTAGAACCAGCGATAATAATTTTGCAATAAATTCGAATGGCACTAATAATCTCGCAGCTGAGAATTCACTCTTACGCATTTTAATTTTACGTAATATTACTTTACTCACGCATTTTGACAAAAAGCTAACTAGATTTGATTTGGCTTGGTTTGTTTGATTATGGCAAAGCACTTGTGGGCTCTCTTCCTAAAGGGAGGAATACCTTCGAAGTGGACTTTCTGAGGGAAAGTAGCTCGTATCTACGTTACACACCGTGAAAAATTACGAAAGCCTCCATTCAGCCAGTCCGTTTGCCGGGACGCGAGCTCCGGACCGAGGTATCCGTGTCCTTCGATTTGACCGTTTGTTCGCTTGTGGGCCTTTATTGCATTGGGAACAATAATATTAATAACTAGCACATAATTAAATAAGCATTATACTGATACCAGTATTTATAAAGCAGTCAACTTCTGATAATCATTTTGCTGCTTGAAATTTAGATTCTCATAGAAGTGGCCGAATGTTTTATAATTGCCCCAAATGCATACTTTTTCTTCTGTCTAATGTCTAGACCCACCAGTGGCCGAGGGTTAGCATCGATGAATATTTGTTGTTCGTACCGGACTCGAACCTAGGCGAATGAGCTGACTGCAAGGTCAGTTTTCGTTGTTTTACTCATGTGCCACGGGACTACAAAACAGTTTCCCTCAGAAAGTTCTCCATCCCCTTCTCTTAGGCAGCCTCCATTTGCTTTGTCATGTTCAAATAACCCAACCTTAGTAATGTTTATTGCTCCGTAACTCAATTTTAAGATAAATCAACTCAACATAAATTGTATATAATTATTTAAATATGATAAATAATCCAATAGCTATAACAAAAATTAGAAAACACAAAATATACAAAATTCGTCGATTTAATTTGATAGTTGCGAAATATTTTATCAATCCATACAATTTCGACCCGCGATAAAATTATTACTCTGATTTATAACACAAACATAGTAACTAGGCACGCAAAAAGAAGCATATCTAAACGAATAACTAATAACACGCCGCACAGTCGGAATGGTGGTCAGGGGAGCTGACTGCGATGGCAAAGGGCCTGGGTTCGAAACCCGGAGAAGGCATGGGTGTAACTGTCTGTCCCTTCATAGGAAAGGCGATGGTGGTCCACCTATTAGGTACCTCCATAATAAAGAGACCACCACATCCGGCCTTGTATAGATTAATGAACTGGGTTACATTTGCAATTGTTCACAATCTGCCATTGATAAAAAAATGAAAAAAAAAACTAAAAAAACAAAGTATTTTGAAATTGTATTACGATAACAGTGACTTTGTTTTATTACACTAAGTTCAGAAATAGAATTCATACAATTGTTTTTAAATTACCTTTTAATCAAGAAATAAGGTTCCTAATCACGATAAAATAATTCTGAAGTTTTATTACATAGAATTGAAACACAATAATAATGAAAAGTTATAATGTAAATGGTTGCAATTAACTCTAAATTTTAGCACATATCAAGTATGTAGAAAGTTAAATAGAGTTTTGATGCCGATTTGCGTTAATCCCAAAACAACATAACAGAAACCCAAATATAAAATAACGGGATTGCTGTCTCAACAAAAATCGAAGGGGCTTTAGGAAGAACAACATGACTCATTCACTTACTCACCGTCTCCACGGTTCATCTCCTGGAACTGGTCCTTTGAACTTGTTTTGACATACGACAGGTCATCAAAAGGAGCTGGATTTCAAATCTAGCCACACTGCACTCTAGTGACATGCGTTTTATCCATAGATATGTGTTCACCGGGAACTGTCAAACGCTGATGCTGCTTGGGCGATGATTATTCTCTTCAACAAAGTAATACAATACAAGCTATATCAACTTTTGATAGGAAATAAGCAACACGAAGGTCAAGTTGTTTGATTCAACAGGTTTTTAGCGTTTAACTTTACTTTCGATACTTTAAACACAAGTGCTGCCATCTGATGCTGAAAGTATTAATTAAATGTGACTCATCTAACAACATAGTCCACTGCACTCACTAAGCTAATCAAACTGACGGCCTCCTAAGCAATTTCAGCAGCCTGCGAATACATTTCTCGTATATTATTTAGCATTATTATGACACAAATTTGAAGAAAACACTTCAGATTTTTAATGATTTAGTAACAATCTGTAATGAAATAATTTTACGTTAATTCTTCAGTAATGAAATAATTTTACATTATTTTTATTATTGGAGACTAACATAAATAACGCCCCAGAAAATTTACAAATGAGGATAATTATTTTATACTGTGATATAAATTTTATTCAAAGATTTTAAGATACAGATTTCATTATCTTTTATTCGTACATTTCATAAGATAAATGCTCTCCCTCAATTACGAATTTTTGCAATTAAAAAAATCACTTTGTTTGGGAGTACATTTGTATGTGAGCAGTTTTTCTTCCGCAATTGAAAATTTGTAAGTAATAATTAATTGATTAATTAGGAATTAGAAAACGGGAAAAGCTTTAAATTTGTAAATTTAATTTGATACTCGCGAAATCTCTAAAAAATTGCTAGAATTCATGAAACCTACCGTACAAATTCACATCGCGACAAAATTACTACACTATTTCACAATGTAGTGCCTATTAGCAGTTGAGCGATAAAAGCCATTGAATGCTGGTAATTCGGTCCGGAGTTCGAGTTCCGGTGAATGGGCTGGTTAAATGAGCGTTTTCATGATTTTCACCATGCGTAAGGTGAAAAGCAGCCAGCTTCCCTCAAAACACTTCTCCACAGGGCATCCATCTCTTTCTATGCAGTGCCAAAAGGCGGAGCGCGTAATAAATAAAAAATATTTTATAGTACAAGTACAGTAAATTTATAGTAAAAAAGAAATTTAGGAGCATTATTTCAAAAAGATCCTTAGAATAAAGACTTGGGTTTTTTACATTAAAGTCAAATGTGAGAAATAGAAATCTTACAATCATTTTAAAATTACCTTTTAATTAACCAATCAAATTCCTGATCACGATAAAACGCAAAAATATTCCTAAACAAAATTTAATGACTCCCTGTTATGTTATTTGCTATTATTCACTGTTACTAATGATATTGTATGGATATGAAATAGGATGATAATTTAAGCGCTTTTAATGACTGATGTTATTATTACTTTTACTCGTAACGTACTAAAAAGTTTTTTTTTATTTTTTTTTTTTTTTTTTATTTTTAATTCTTCATTTTTCATTTGGTTCATCTTTTTTTATAATTTGTTACTTTATATATTTAACTATTCGTTCTTCTTTGCTGGGGAAAAAAAAAAATACTTATCTTTAACTATTTATTTACGTTCTTCTTTCCTTAACTCCACAAATTTTCAGCTGTGATCTTATAATCTACTTAACTCATCGTTCCAGAAATTTAACGTTTTTTCAGGAAAAAAAAAAACTTGTTCGATACTAAAATACTTAAAATCGCTAACAACAAGTAGTGGCACCCAAAGGGCCTAGGTTCGAATCCCGGAGAAGGCAGGGATGTTGTAAATGTATAGCCTTTTTGCAACATGGGAGCAATGTAAACATATGCTGAGCCAGAAGTCCTCTCGTGTTGCTTGGTGGTACAGGAAGGGATTTGGGAGACCCTCTGCCACCCTGGGATGCTCCCCCTTAAAATTAGAGAACGGGGGGGGGGGAATCATACTATCACGTATATGGTGCTCAAGGCTCCTACCAACAAGCTGTTCTAATTAGGTTACACAAATAAAATTAGTCACAATAACACACCTAATAGGTCTAATCAGACTCGAATTTCGGCAAACACCTGACTGTATCAGTTTCCGATTATAAATCTTCCATGAAGGCATCCTTTTCCTTGGAGGATAATCTTGTGTGAGTCGCCATAATGCCAAAAAGAAAAAAAATCAAATTCTTAGCTTGCGAAGCTTTATGTAACAATCACAATTTTTTTTTAAAGCGATAGACCATAAAAATTATATCTATAAATTCCACATCTTCTCCACAAAGTATCTACTCGTAAAAATAGGGTTAGGCTAATTTGCATTCTTAAAAACAAATCTGTTAACTAGTTGTATCGAAAAGAGAATCAAATATTTATCTAGCATAAAATCTGATAAGACACCTATTATCAGGCAACGTGCTTAAAATTAGATGTGATAAAAATTATCACTTGCTTGATGCATAGAAAACTTTGCATAAATCGTAAGCTATGGAGAGAAAACGTGTACTTGTTTATTTTTACAAAACTAACTCCTTTACCGCAAGTTTAGAAACTGCAACAATTCATATCGAATCCTCTTTATTTAAAGTCACTGATAGAGTGGATCATTTCCGATTACTCATTGCAAAGTAAAATACTCGGCCTTAGAGACAATGAAATTCCAAATATTTTATAAATATATGTCAATATATGTCAGCTTTTCAGCATTGTCCATTTATATAGTACATGCCCCGCGGACTTTTCTACTAAACTTTATGTGCATTTGCCACAATTATTTGGGAAATACTGAGTCTGCCGAAATGGCCACCTCGTTTATCAATGCACTGCACAAGACTATTACGAACACTTTTCATGGCAAGCTCAAGACTATCAAACGTTATGCGCTCAGTTTCCTGTCTCATTTGTTTCTTCAGCTGTTCCACACTTCTCATTCTAGTTGTATGCATTTTAGCCTTCAAGTGTTCCCAAAGAAGGAATTCCGGAACAATTGATCAAGGGATCTAGCGGTCCACTAAATGGTCAACAAAACGGAGAAGTCTGTTTTTAGAAGTGTTCCGCGCTGGACTGTTAAGAGCGAAAACATTTATAATGTAAGCTTATTACTATCCATTTTGCATAAACGTGTTAAAAATAATGTTGTAAAGCAGTTAAAAATAAAATAGAAACTCCAATCAGTGTGTAACTGAATTACAAGTTTACAGCGATTATCTTAGTAACAGTGTTGTAACTATGAACCCAGGTAATGTTTAAATGCACACATAATTGTCATGATTCTATAAACTCCAGTCAATGTATAACTGAATTACAAGTTTACTGTGATTATCTCAGTAACAGTGTTGTAACTATGGAACCAGGTAATGTTTAATTGCACACATAATTGTCATAATTCTATCTAAGTATCTCGTGTAACTTATACAAGAAAATGTTTGTAATTAACATATCTGTGCTTATACACAGACCTCATATGCCCATGTAATATTTATGGTAGAAAACATCTCTTCTGCGGGGATGACTATTAACACTGTAAGACTTTTACAACAAAGTCAGATCAGTGGTCATACTGGGCAGCGCTCAGTGGTCGTCCGCCCACGCTACATAGTCTACTCCCAGTCTCAGTCATTTCTGAAAATTGCTCATTTGGCAGACATGTTTCACAAATAACTGTAGCAAATGTAGACAAAACGTTCTTGTAAAGTCTACGTAGCATATAGTCAAATGGAATTTAAATGGACGGACCGTATACTCACCCCCTGTATTTTCCTTCTAGCATTTTAGCGCCAGATTCTTAAAATTCTAAGAGAATTCGCACAGTTTTCTCCTTCCTCTGCGTTCAGAGAACAAACTCCCCAAAATTTTAAAACGGATTCGTCCACGTAGGGATTGTTTTCATCTATTACTAACAAAGACCAAACCGTCCCGTTCTAACTGTTGAACTTTATGCCAGCCTAATGCCAGAATTGACCAATCAAAGCTAGACAAAGTCGAATTGACATTCTGTCCACATTTCGCTGATTCAGCTGCACATTCATCTTCTCTAATTATTTATGGATGATTTGGAGCCAAAGAAGAAGCAGAGACAACAATAAGAACGATCGAGATTCAAGTTATGGTGAAGTAGAAATAAAAGTACTCTATTATATATTGCAACGTTAAATATTACTATGTATTCTAATTGGAATGCGGGGTTTGTTTCAAAGGAGCAAATATTATGATAGTTATCTGTAATTTATAAATGACTAATTTTCATTTGTTACGTTCTTAGTGTAACCGCGTCCTTCGGAAATTAAATTATTCGCATAATTTTTCCCTCTCGATTTTTCGTCCGATAAAATTAGGAAAAAAAAATGGTGAGAGATATGTTAGAAAATATGGTATACAGCGAAAATGATGATATAAAATATTTGGAGGTTCATTGTCGCTAAAGCCGAGTATATTATTAAAAAAATGCTCCACCCTGTATATCCAAGGCTCACCAGCGGCCGAGCGGTAAAGTCGCTGAACACTGGTAGTTCGATCCGTGGTTCGAATCCCGCGAACGGGCTGGCTGCATGGGTGTTTTTTGTGGTTTTCCCCATGTGTAACGTGTATACGAGCCAGTTTCCCTTAGAAAGTCCTCCACGAAGACATCCCTTCCCTTAGGCAGATAGCCCTCGAGGCTTTGCCGTAATTAAATAACCTAACCTGTATATCTAAGTTTCTTTCGTTTCTAATTATATATTTACAAAGTGTGATTTACTTTTCCCCCGATGATTCGAATTTTCACGTTGTCAGGAAACGAAATTATTTTCACTATTCAATCTTTTACGAGTTTCAGAATAGTACTTATCAAATAAGAGATGTTCTAGTTTCCCTTAGAATAAATACTGTAATCAATTTGATAAGGACAAGAGTCATGCAGAATAAACATTTGGACATGATAGGACACATTGAGTTTGGGCATAAACCTAGATCTTGAGAAAGCAGCAAATACTTCTTGATCACTTCCTTAAATTGAGCATCTTCAATAGGAATAATTATTTCTCTGAGTACATTATCTTTCAGTTCTTCAACAGATTATGGGGGGGGGGATGGGAATGATGGCTTCATGATGGCAAAAAATTAGCATCATTTCAAATTCAGCTATATTTAAGCAAACTGCTTAAATTCTGAATACATTTCTTGCAATTTTCTTCTCCTTTATTTATTATTTCCTTCC